CAGATGCTTTCAAAGTGCCTGTTTTTTTATTAAAATACAACATTTAATTAAAATAGATATAGAATAAATTAATTTTTATTCTTAAAATACAAATTTTTATTTAAACATTTATATTTATAACTATAGTCAGACCTCTCTAAGTATATGTCCTTGGGATCACACTTTAATAATGTGCATATAGAGAATAATAAGAAAAAGTACATTTATAGAGATTAAGTATATATTTGGGCTGGCACTTGAGCATGCATTTAGAGAGTGTGTGCACTTATAGAGGGTGCACTTAAAGAGATCTAACTGTATAGCAAAAATCTATAACTTACACTTATAAAATAGTTTTAAGAAAGTACAAATAATTTTGCCCTTTCTCACTCTTCCTCATCAGGTATATCAGGAAAAGTTTTGTCCTGATCATTCATTCTAGTAATTACACTTTCCATTTTATTGCTGATTGCAGTATAATGAAAGTAGAGTTCCATCTAGTCTCGCAATCTAAAGCCGAGATTGTAGCTTTTATGGACTCATATTCACAACCTCTAAAAATATTTGATGCCGTTTTGGTGTTGTATGTATTGCCTTGACAAAACTGTGAATCTATAAAAATATTATTAGATTACTATATTATTTAAAATTAATTAAATATATAAAATAACTATCTTTATAATCACCTTTGAAATTTCTTTAATCTATCTTTCACAATAAGGTTCAGAATATGAGCAAGACAGTGATTATGAAAAAGTTCTTTTTTAATGTTAATTAAATCCTGCGAAGCAGAATTAATTAGTTTACAGATTGCAACATCATTCAAACTTGCATTGTCAAGGGTAATAGTTTGTATCTGTAAATATATAACATTATTAATACAGTATACAGTATATTAAATAATAATAAAATCAAGACAAAATTATATACTTTTGTAGTAATTAGGTAGTTATCAGTTACAGTCTTAATACAATTTCCAATGTTAGCACCAGTATGAGGATAGGAAAGTAACTCAAAAGATATTAAAAGAGATATAAGATTCCACTTTTCATCTAAAAAATAAGCAGTGATTGTCAAATATTCTAGTTGCTGAAGCGATGTCCATACATCACATGTAAGAGAGATTCTGCTTTCAGCATTTTGAAGTATTGTTCTTATTAAGTTTTTTCTTTTATCATATCCTTTCATAACATCTTGCTTTACTGTATTAGCACTCATGCTAAAGCAAGGTAAAATCCCACTTAGAATTTTATGAAAGTTAGGTTTTTCAACAAATTGAAAACAAAGTTTATCCTGGATTATCATATCTACCAAGTCTTTTCAACTTGGATTTTCTATACATTGCTATTTGTTTAAAATAGGAAAATTCAAATGGGTTTGACTATTTGATTGTTCATTACATGTTTCATTCTTTTTAAATTTATTACAAGATTTGAGATAGCGCCAAAGATGTGATATTCTAGTACCTTTTTTATGAGCTAGAATACTTTTGCAATATTTACATTTTACCTTTAGTTTATTTGATAATAATGTAAAGTGATTCCAAACTGCTGAAGTATTTCTTGAAGATGTTGTTAAACTTGTGGCTGTGGCAGTGGTGGTGTTGTCAGCAGCAGGAGATACTGGTATAGATGATGAAGTCACAGAGTCAGTAGAGATTCCATTTTGAATGTCCATTGTATTAATAGAGGTTACGTTTTGAACGTCTATTGTATTAGTTGAGATTACATTCATTGCAAGTTAATTCTTATTCGGCCAAGAGCACACTAAACAACTAGTGTTATAACAGTTAGAAAAACTTGACCTACTTAAAATCTTAATTAAGAGTAGCATATTTGTTTAACTTACTCTATTTTTTTTTTATTTTTTTTTTATTTTATTTTTTGGTTAATTTGTAATCTACATCTTCGACTACAATATCTCTAGTATCTCTTTACTGATTATGCAGATTTCTTCTATTTTTTCTTGAGAAAAATATCTGCTTATTAATCTTTTTTTTTCTTTTATGCGTTAAGATCATACAAAGTTTAAGTTGTATGAAATTTTAGCTAATTAAAGTTTAAGTCTTGTGCCTATGTGATTTTTTGTAGTACAATGATGGGTACACTTTGATACCCAGGGCTTGCTTATATGTTAAGATCATACAAAGTTTAAGTTATACAAAATTTTAGCCAATTAAAGTTTAAGTCTTGTGCCCATGTGATTTTTGTAATACAATGATAAGTACTCTTCGATACCCAGGGCTGGATATATCTAGATTTAAGTTTTACTAGAGTACTAATATTTAAGCTTTATTAAGCCCTATCTCCTTTTAAGAGTTTATAATTTAATACCCCAGTCTATCTCATATAGTACTACCCTAAAGGTACCCATAGGTAGCACAGGCCTGTGCGAAGGCCTAATTGCTAATTTATTCTGCATCTGAAATTTTAGCCAGATCAACAGCATAGCCTAAATTCTAAATAGATTGTCTTTATAGCACATACTGTACTTAATTTTGCACTAAAAGAACATTTTATAGAAGAGCATTACCATCTAACTTATCTTCTTTTATGCCTTGTATCTTAGATTTATATTTGTAATCCTGAGCTGATTTATTTCTGCAGTGAAAGAGTTTTCTTATAGTTACAATACCTGTTGATTTAGATTATAACCCAAGTAAATAGACACTATATTTTACTAACAATTACTTACTAACAAGTTTATTTTACTGACAGTTTATTTTACTGAACCTCATTTTACAGACAAAGTAATTCTGATTAATATTATTAGAGTTAGGTTAGAACTAGAGTTAAAGCTAATATAATTTATAAAAAAAACTTGTTAGTAAAATGAGCTTCAGTAAAATATATTGTCAGTAAAATGAACTTGTCGATAAATAATTGTCTGTAAAATATGGTGTCTATGAAGTAATTGTTGGTAAAACTATAAATATCTAACCTGTCTGAGTTATTATTTTTTAACCCAAATATAGCTCTAGTATAAAAAAAATAAAGTCTAAAACTTGTATAGATTTAATGCAAAGCTAGATTATTATTTTGCTATATACAATTATGTATATTAACATCTGAATATATATATATTAGTTGAATATATAAAAAAAAATTTATATATAAAAAAATTTAAAAAAATTTAAAGCTATTGGGTTAAGTTACTTTGATTATTTTCAGTAAGTAATAAATAAAGTGAAATAATTGAAATAATTGTTATATTAAACCAAAGTTGCCATCCTTTCCCCCGACGATCACTTGGTCCACCCTCCTTACAGAAAGGAAAAGTAGAAAAAGTTTACTGGAGAGTCGTGTAGCTACAGGCCGGTTTGTAGTGAGG